TGGTAAGAATGGTCAGTTCTCTAACAAAAGGCCACTGACACTTCTAACAAATGCTAATGAACCCAGGAGCCTTTTGTGTGAGTGAGCTATTGAACTTGGCAAAGGTTAGAAGCTGCTGCTTTACCATCCATAGGCCTGAGTGACAAGGCAAAGCACTAAGCTAGAAAACACAGGAGACAGGTGCTAAGGGAAGAATTCCCTGGCATCTTCAAACAAATAATAATGGGGAGGGGTAATGCAAAACTGAACCAAAAGGAAATGTGGTATCAAGAATCTATTATCTTTAGTGACAATTATTACTGCATGTGATTCATGTAGATAGTATTATTTTCATATTGTATTGCTTCAAGATATGGCCACAATGGAAGTCACAGCCAGAATGTCCTTGTGGTCCATGTGCAGACTGATTAACAAAGTTCCCTCCAACAGGGTTTCCATTCTGGAGATCCTGTTCTGAGAAAAGCAACTGCAAAAGACTCCCATGTTCTGAGCTATGCTTGACCACACTACATGGGTTCCCACTGGGAACGGTGGGCAGAATTCATCATGAGCAGTGACTGACTCTATGAGGCTGGTCAGGATTCATTGTCAGCCACAGAGGAACAAACTCATTGCATTTGGGAACAAAAATTGAATTATTTGAGAGTGGCTTTAGGAGAAACTGAGGGTGTTTTGGTATAGACTCCCAGTTCTCTCTCTCTCTCTCTCTCTCTCTCTCTCTCTCTCTCTCTCTTTAATATGATGTTTATTGGCAAACTGGTTTCCATACAACACCCAGTGCTCATCCCAACAGGTGCCCTCCTCAGTGTCTCACCACCCCCCCATCAACCCTCAGTTTATTCTCAGTTTTTAAGAGTCTCTTACGGTTTGGCTCTCTCCCTCTCTAACTTCTTTTTTTTTTTCCTTCCCCTCCCCCATGGTCTCTTGTTAAGTTTCTCAGGATCCACATAAGAGTGAAAACATGGCATCTGTCTTCCTCTGTATGACTTATTTCACTTAGGATAACACTCTCCAGTTCCATCCACATTGCTACAAAAGGCCATATTTCATTCTTTCTCATTGCCAAGTAGTATTCCATTGTGTATATAAACCACAATTTCTTTATCCATTCATCAGTTAATGGACATTTAGGCTCCAACGGAATGGGAAAAGATATTTGGAAATGACATATCAGACAAAGGGCTCGTATCCAAAATCTGTAAAGAACTCACCAAACTCCACACCTGAAAAACAAATAATCCAGTGAAGAAATGGGAACAAAACATGAATAGACACTTCTCTAAAGAAGACATCCAGATGGCCAACAGGCACATGAAAAGATGCTCAACGTCGCTCCTCATCAGGAAAATACAAATCAAAACCACACTGAGATACCACCTCACGCCAGTCAGAGTGGCTAAAATGAACAAATCAGGAGACTATAGATGCTGGAGAGGATGTGGAGAAATGGGAACTCTCTTGCACTGTTGGTGGGAATGCAAACTGGTGCAGCCACTCTGGAAAACAGTGTGGAGGTTCCTCAAAAAATTAAAAATAGATCTACCCTATGACCCAGCAATAGCACTGCTAGGAATTTACCCAAGGGATACAGGAGTGCTGATGCATAGGGGCACTTGTACTCCGATATTTATAGCAGCACTTTCAACAATAGCCAGCTCTCTGTCTCAACCAAACACTAACACCTGAGACTCACTGAGACACCTTGTCATAGTCCTTATCTTGGTCAATACCTACAATAATCCTTCTCTGTAATATAAAAAGGAGAAATGAAACTTTCAGGGGTCCTAGTAATGTGTGCATTGTCACATACCTAGTAAGCACTACATCTGGGAGCTAAATCCAGACATTTGACTGCAAGGCACCTCTACTTGGGACTGTGTTGTATAATTCCCTTCTCTCTGATAGTGGCATCCTCAGGCACTCTTATGAAATATCATCTATCCTCTCTTCCCTTTCCTTTTCTTCTCACTCCCCCACCCCCAACTGCCAGTTAACATGGTTTCCTGCATACACGTATTCTACAGTACACAGAAGTATTTATACACACATACTTTTCATATACCAAAGGGGTGAATGTTATTTCAAGAACACGAGCCTTATTCAAAATAATGAAATTTCAGGCATCTGCTCTTAGAGAAGTGATTTGTTTCAACCACCTGGACCACCTCCCTTTATGAGGGAGACTACAGGCAGTCCCTAAATAAAGCCAGACTAGTTCAAATGTCTGCTTTGAAGTTGACTACAGGGAATTGAGAATTCACTGAATCCCCAGATCAGCCCACATAACCCACAGAGTTCCTAAAGTATAAAGCTATATATTTCAGCAACAATTAACCTCTATAACGTCTTGAAAGAGAAACTCAATACAAGTTCTTGTTTGTGAATCCAGGAATGCCTTCTCCTTTCTGCCTAGACTTTAGGTGAAAGAGCAACTGGATAGGAAAAAAGTGAACTGGGAGGATGTGAGGGGAGAAGATGGGAGAGCAGGGGAAATAATTTGGGGGACTGGTGCCCTGTTAGATCTCTCAGCTGCATTTGGTCATTTATTCTCAAGTATTCTAGACTGGGGGACAAAGGGCTCTTGGGCCTTGTAGGTCAGGGCTCATTTGTATGTTCAGATTGATGATGCTGAGACTCTTCAATATTGGCTTATGCAGGTCACCACAAGTTTGGGTACAGACTGAACCACCACTGAATAAAAATCACAAGACAGTATTTTAATTGGCCTCCTTAGGCCATTTAACAAAGGAGAAAGCTAACTTGCAAGAGCAAAGAGTAATTAATGAAGGGAGCAAACAGAGGTTCATTTAGTAACTTCAAAATAAGTTCCTCTGTCTGAGGTGGGGAAAAAAAAAAGTAGCCTGCAACATAAAGATAAACTGTAGGTATTTAAGTCACAATGCCTTCCGCCAAGAACTGCTCATTACCATCAGATGCTGCAGTGGCAGTGGGGCCAGTTAGAACTAACTTTATTATTAGAAGCAATTAGGGAGAAAAGGGGCAGAATTTCATTTGGTTATTTCAAAACAAGTTTCTGTTCACGGTTTAATGAAGGCCTGCAGTGTCAAGATAAAATGTGTGTTTTACTGAAAACAGCTTTTGCAAATGATTGCTTGTTACCAGCCGGTATCTCCAGGCAAAGCAGTCTGGGTAGGTTGGATTTACATGCATGCTGTAATATAATAGTTCAGCTGTCTCAGCTTCATAGAAGTGTTAACAGGCAATATGACTTGATGGTTAAGCACATGTGTTCTGGAGCCAGACTGTCTGTCTTCAATTCCTCACTCTGACCTTGGTAGCTGAATGACCTTGAGTGACCTTCTGGAATGTTCTAGGCTTAGTTTATTCCTGTGTAAAGTGGAGATCATAGTAGTGTTTATCTCACAGGATTACTGTGAACTATAGATGCACCTAATATGTGTTAGACATTGTTGTAATTATGATGAGTTCTATCCAAGAAACATTGGGGTGGGGCTTGCTATACAGGGGTTACCCTGAGTACAAATCAATAATGGATCCATTTACATCTTTTGAATGGAGTTTTCACATAAAGAATGACAAAGATATTTGTCTTCACATTCGTAACAGTTTTCATCTAAACTCCTTTGGGACAATATTTCAGTATTTCTATATGAAAAGTGTAATTGCTTTATGGGTTTGCTAAACCAGTTGTGTACCATATTCTTTATTTCCCACCTTTAAAGTAATGGCTGGGACTTTTTATATTTCCCTAAGTCTGAGCTTTTCCTTTATAAATCTCTTGTGCAGCCTTCAACTCTTCCTTCATATACATACCTGGGCTAAGAAACTGCCATGTACCAAGCTTAGAAGACCATTTAAAAAAAAACCTCAACTATCACACAACAAATGGGGAGTTTGGCTTTGGCTTCCTTCTAAATATCCTTTTGAGGCTACTGTGACCACAGTAAAAGAGATCTCTCACCAGTGGTTTCAAATTCAACGTCCTACTCTTCAGGGAGAGGATGTGCTGCCTTCAGTGATTTTTTAGATACTCCATTAAATTCTCAAGGTTAAAGACTGATTTTCATCAGATGGCTACAATATTTGCATATTCACTTGGGAATATGGCATACTGCTTACCCATTATGTTTTAGTTTTGCAAATCAATAGCATTTAACTAATGTTCCATGCACCATAATATTAGACCCATATGATGAATAAAACTCCTTTCTTAGGCCTTAACAGTGACTCTGTTATTAAAATCTATTCATTTTGGAGAAGGCTAAACTAGCAAAATGCCCTCTACACATTTATGTGTTTTCTCAGCTGTGTATTAACCCACATCATTTTTCTGGTGGCCCTAACTTAATTTATGCTAATTTGAACAATTTACATAAGAGCCTCTTTTATAGAATTTCAGATCTTACCCTGCAGATTATAAGAAAGAAAAAGTTAAAAACATGGGCAAGTATATATTGGTGGGATTCTCCCCCAAAGTCTGTGTGTTCTTGTTTAATATGAGTTTTAGAAACAGGTTCAAGCTAATATTTATTTTCTCTAACCAAGTTGTCTACTTTAAAAAAAAATTAATGTTTATTTATTTTTGAGAGAGAGAGGGAGACAGAGCATGAGCGGGAGAGGGGCAGAGAGAGAGAGGGAAACAGAATCTGAAGCAGGCTCCAAGCTCTGGGCTGTCAGCACAGAGCCTGATGCGGGGCTTGAACTGATAGACCATGAGATCATGACCTGAGCCAAAGTCGGTTGCTTAACCGACTGAGCCACCCAGAAGCCCCAATTTATCTACTTTTTTGAGTACTACTTTTTTTTAAAAATCTCATTGTAACATGAGAGATTTTCCTTCTTGAAAGACTCAGTGTTAAAGAATAATTTCATCAGAGTTGTTGATGCCCATTAACTATTAGTGTCTCTTAGAAAGTCAAAGCTTAAGGAAAGGTAGATTCTAAAAAGAATGAAATATTCCATGTTACATAGAAACTACCTGAGGAAAGATTTGAGAGGGAGAAAGTAGATATTCTTACCCTGGATCGTTCTTCTAGTTTTGTCATCATGACAACTGTTGCACTCCGTTGCTCCCATATCATTCTCCAAAAGTCCCCAAATGTTTCAGGCAGAGATCCTTGTGTTGCAATATAAGCATTTTGTTTCCTATAGCCATCTATATAGTTGGCATTCACATAGTCACTTCCGGGGATGCCTGTAAAACAAGAGGTGTTATTCCACTAGAGCCTATCACGAGAGGAGACAGCCTGATATCTGGACTAATGATGATGTTACATTATTGTTCCACACTATGCTAGAGGAGTCACAATATATTCAAGTTTGGGTTTTAAGCAAGATAAAAACAGGTCCCATGGGGACTATCCCATTAAAGAAATACAGTGGTCCAGGTGTTGGATCTTTGTAATATGACAAGGTAGATAATAAAGAAAGAAAAATACAACTGATTGTCCATAAGGTGCTATTCCTCTCACCCACTGTCTATTTTCTCCACTGCATCAGTAAAATATAGCATGCAAAGAAGGCTAAACAATTATCTGGTCACATTTCTCACTCATGCAATTCCACATTGCCAGACAAAAACTAAGTGAAATAATGCCTGAGTCTGAAAATGCAGTGTAGAGTGGAACATGCCATAACAGTGAAAAATTCTTCACAAATTTAGCTAACAGGGAACTCATTTGTAAACTCATTTAATCCTTTCAACAACTCTGTGAAATAAGTCCTATCAGGATCTTCCTTTCACAAAGGAGAAAACAGAGGTGCATGGAGATTAAAGAGCTTTCTCAAATTGGTGGAGTTTGGATGAATTTTAGGCAGTGTGTCTGTTACGTCTGTCTTAACCTCTGCAAAGACTACTTCTCATTGAATCTCACAGAATTGTTGTACCACATGCATCTCTCCTTAGATTATGACAATTGCCTCTTATTTGGTTATCTCATGTCTATTTTTGTCCTTTGCAGTCTGCTCTCCATCTAGCATGAGAACAGTTTTTACAAATATATTTCAGACACTGTAATTTCTCTCCTTCAAACCCAACAATGGCTTCCCTTTTTACTTCAAATAAAATCCAAACTCTCAATAATGGCTACAGAGCTCCTCAGTTTTTCTTTTTAAAAAAGTAAATTTATTTATTTTCAGAGAGAAAGAGCAAGTGTGGGAGGGGCAGAGAGAGAGAGGGAGAGACAGAATCCCAAGCAGGGTCTGTGCTGTCAGCGCACAGCCTGATGCAGGGCTCAGCCCCACAAATCCTGAGATCATGACCTGAGCTGAAATCAAGAGTTGGGATGCTTAACTGACATAGCCACCCAGGCACCCCATCTCTGCACTTTTCCAAACACATTTTATTCCATTCACTTCCTTCCCTTCTAAACTCTAGACTGGACCACCTCTGCTGTTAGAAAACATCACTCTCCTACCTTATTGCCATCCCAAATCCTAGAACACACTTGGTGTCTCCTTCCCATTGTATAATGTTCAGCTTGCCTCTCAGAAAGCCTGCTCTTAATACTCTCAGACCTCAGAACTCCCTTAACTACATTTTTTTAAGTGTATTTATTTATTTGAGACAGAGAGAGAGAGAGAGAGAGAGAGAAAGAGGGATAGAGAGAGCACGCATGAACAGGAAGGGGCAGAGAGAGATGGAGTGAATCCCAAGCAGCCTCTGCCCTGTCAGCGTAGAGCCCACTCGGGGCTTGATGTCATGGACCCATGACATCGAGACCTGAGCTGAGCTGATATCAAAGTTGGACACTTAACCAACAGAGCCACAAAGGTACCCCTCACTTGACAACTCTTTACACTACTTATTACACATTGTAATTATATACTTGTTTGTTGACATGCTTATTGTTTGTTTTGACCTCTAGACCATGTCTCTTTTATTAATCCCTTGCTATCTCAAGGGACAAAAATAAATTTGCCCAAGTTCTGACATTAATAAGCAGCAGAGCTTGAATTTAATGCAGATATTCTGATTGGAAGTCTAATTTTCCTTCAGCACACCTTTAAGAGGGATACAGGCAAATCTGAGCTTCTTTCAATGAGAGTGAACAGAGCGATTAAGGAAATCAAAGCTCTTCCATATGAGAAAGGCATGCATATTATACTTGGCAGAGGAAAATGTAGGGGATGAGGACTCTGTGAGTACCTGAAGAGAGGGGTAGATTTACTCTGTTGAGACCCAAGTTTTTCAATTCTGAAGGATGTAACCACAGAGAGATGAATTTCATCTCCAATATCGTAAAGCATTTTCAAATTTTCAGAATCAAAAAGCGAATAGATTTCCTTGAGAGGTAACAATTGCCTATCCCTGGAGCAGACCAAGCACTTTACAGGGGTACTGGCATATCATACAGGCCTGATATGAGAGGTAGCACCAGAACCTATATATGGCCCCTTCTTGGAAAAATATGAGTCCTGGAACTATGAGAAAAAAGAAAAAAGAAAATTTTCTTTATAATGGAATGTATGTTCCCAAGCTAAAATTGTTATATTTCACTGATTGCCACTTGCAATTACTTTGACTGCTTTTCTGATTCCAGTTGTAAAACTGATCCTCTCAAAAAAGTAATGAAAGTCAGATGGGAACTACTGGGCTCTGAGATGAACACATGGATATGGAATACCACCAGCATTAGTGAAAAGCCTTTTGAGTAAAAACTGAAATGCACGGCTGGTTGTAACATTATTCATCTATTACAGCTACTCAAGAAGCAGTTGGGGTTCTGGCAGTCCTTTGTTGATAAAGATCCTATTCCAGACACCAAGATTCAAAAGACAGTTTAAATAAAGTCCTCAGGTTACTGCCACTGGGAAGCACGCACAACCTCATGTCCACAGAATTTGGTTCTGAGCCAACAACGAATCTATTTTATTTTATTTTATTTTATTATTTTTGTTTAATTTTTTTTTCAACGTTTATTTATTTTTGGGACAGAGAGAGACAGAGCATGAATGGGGGAGGGGCAGAGAGAGAGGGAGACACAGAATCGGAAACAGGCTCCAGGCTCTGAGCCATCAGCCCAGAGCCCGACGCGGGGCTCGAACTCACGGACCGCGAGATCGTGACCTGGCTGAAGCCGGACGCTTAACCAACTGCGCCACCCAGGCGCCCCCGAATCTATTTTATAATACAGGGAAAGCCCACCTTCAAAATTTTAATTTAGCAGTTGACAACATTAAAGAATTGATAAAAAAGGATTATGGCTAAAGGTCTCCAATATACAGAAAAGTTTTTTCCAAGAATATTCAAAATAGAGAAGAAACCTGGGTTAATGACTCTGAAAACGCATCAGCTGGGCACTGTGCCATTTCCCCCGTATCAAGGATAACAACTGTATCCAAACAGTGTGTCAGAGGAGAGAGGAGATGGATATGAGGCTCACATCTAAAGGAAGAGAATCAGACCCACCCAATATTTTTATATAAATTTTAATCATTTACTATGTAATGAATTGTTTTTTGACATATTGCTTAAGTTTGAATAATAAATTATGATTATTATTTTTAGGGAGGAGTGGGTTGCTACTTAATAATGCTTGTATTTCTTGGGGACAAAAACACAAACAAAATCTGCTTGAAAAATACTAGGCACCTGGTATCTGTACTTATCACCAAGCGCTTTCAGAATTGGGGACTTGATATTTTGAAAAGAAAATTAAAAGGAAAAATTCAATACCTAGTAGAGCTAATTATTAGCCTAAAGTTTACATCTTGAAAATAATGCTGGGGCTCCTCTTCTATTTTGAAACTTGAGGTAGTATCTGGAATAAATGCCTCTTCCTCCCAGCAAATCTCTTTACATACTCTGGCAAAAAGACATTTCAGGTAAGTCTTCTTATACACATCCTTCACAAGATGGGGATGTGAGAGAAGACTATTCTACAGAAGCTCTAAGATCTAATGTATCAGTATTTAATATAATCCAAATAACACACTATGTAGAAAGATGAATGGGAAAAGATTTTAGAAAGGGTGGTGGTGTGCCCTTTTACAAATATTAACCTCAGATTGGAAACTAAAGTTGAACAGAAGTGTGTTTCAAGTAGATGAGATCTCTGTTTTCAGTGTGACATAAAGATTTTTCAACAGACTTTTTGAAAAACAGCATCATGCAGCCTTTCCAAGTGTTTTGGTACCATGAAATGCTTCTTCAGTAGCTCTTGATTTTGATGTTTCTGCTGGAAGGCTGGATCTACAAAATCCCTTCCCTTTATTGGGGTGACCTTCTCCAAGTATTGCGTATTTGTTTATTTAATTTTCAATTCCCTGCTTTATCCAGAAAATGATTTTGCATCTGCTAATACAACACTAATCAGAGTGCACTACTAATCCAAAAGAAGTGTGTGAGAATTAATTGAATTCTTCTGGGGCTATGATGGATGGAAATCTAACTTAACATGTAATACTAAAAGAATACAGAATTACTATAAATTAGCTAATTGCTTTTATTTTCTGGAGTCAAGAAGACCTTTGTCCAATGTAAGGTAATAATGGCACTTGTGGGGTGTGTGTGTGTGTGTGTGTGTGTGTGTGTGATTAAAACAATGAAAACATAACAAAAATGTCTGCCTTTAGCTCATCATAATCAAAAACCCTAGGGCTGGACCTGCTGGCAGAACTGTCTCTCAGGTAACTATAACTTAGATGAAAAGTTGTTTACGGGGCACCTGGGTGGCTCAGTCGGTTAAGCGGCCGACTTCAGCTCAGGTCATGATCTCACGGTCCGTGAGTTCGAGCCCCGCGTCGGGCTCTGTGCTGACAGCTCAGAGCCTGGAGCCTGTTTCAGATTCTGTGTCTCCCTCTCTCTCTCTGACCCTCCCCCGTTCATGCTCTGTCTCTCTCTGTCTCAAAAATAAATAAATGTTAAAAAAAATTTATAAAAAAAAAAGGAAAAAAAAGAAAACTTGTTTCCTAGGAATTCATGGCTTTACTGCCTTTATAAAAGTAACTTTCATGATTTTCCATGTATTATTTCATGTGTACTCTCCAGTTACCAATTGTCACGTAAACAGGTCCAACACCAATAATTATCATTCTAATCTTGTAAGTGAAAAAACTGAGGATAGATCTTAAGTTCATATTATATCTATATGCCCCTTTCCTGTGTTACAGTGTATTTCATTAGGTAAGGGACTATTTTTCTATGTTTTATACACATATTACTTACATGCTTTATACGGGGCTTTGCATTTG